ATTACTCCGCAGTAATTTTTCAACAATTCGTAACAGTGATGATGATATACTCCCATACTAATATATTTTCTTTGTAATAGCTGCCTTAATACAATTTATATACAATTTTATTGAGCTTCTTTAAATATTATTTGTGGCGACTCAATGCCATAAATGGGTGGCTGTTCTTTTAATTTCATATTTTAAACCATGTCTATGTCAAACAAAACATAAACGCCTAATGAATGCACATACAGTACGCTACTATATACGCATAGTATATTCATGCGCGGATGATTATTTATGTTTAAATATGGCAGGTTTCAACCATTTTCACGAGCACATTTCGACCCCAACCATAATTGTCATGAACTGCTGACTTTAACAAAAGTGGTATTATTTTGAAATAAACCAGGTACTGGTTATAATTGACCCAGGCTCGTGACCCCAGAACCTGAACAATTTATTTATTCCAAGCTGGCAACTAGATACTGGAATAATAGTACAGTGAACTGACCTATGGTTAACTTGGCCAAAGACACTGGGATGCATTATTACAAATTCACGCTATTACGGCCATCGACCCCAGTACAACTAACTGGCCTGCTGCCTATTTCGGAACCAGCTCGCTACAATATGTTGCTGTGAAGACCTGTGTATGAGCAGGCATTCATATTTTATTGGGTAAACACTATTCAACCGCAGCTATGGAGCTGATGATCTTTGGCTTCTTCGAACGGCAATTTGTTGTCTTTCTGAGAACAACGCTGATATATTGAGGTTGTCACGACACTGTGTTCGAAGATATCGACACGCAAGCTTGTGGCAGCCTGACCTTCTACTTTCCGTGTTCGCATTTTGACACTCGGCTGATGATTTTCGAACTCAACATTCGCTGGATAATTTTACTCAAAAGGATTAAGGTGGCAAATATCCCGAACCGCAAGCCTGTACTGAATGGGCTGACAGTGTTGTAGCAAAGAGGAATGAAGACAATCGTATGATGTGCGTGGAACCCGACTTTATATTTGTTCATTTGGCGACCATGGTTTTGCTGAAATAGAATGTTCATCAGGCGATATAACAAAGTTGTTCGCGCCATTTTAAAAATGATTTGCTTATTTTGAAAACTGGTGTTTGCACGCTGATCGCGCACGTTAATATGGAGGTAGTGAGTGTTGCAACCGACTGTTGTTGTCTTTCAACAATCGAAAACAACCGCCGAACGTTGCTAACTCGGCATCTGTACTGAATTTGGCATGAGACAAACTTCGATGCAATAAACTAAGAGGTCGGCTTTTGACAACAGTATTTCCCGATCCGGAACTTCGTATCAGCAACGAGCTGTTCAAACATCTTTAAAGCTGGCCTCGTTCATATTTCTCAACGCTCTAAAATTGACCTGGTGTCCATCGACAACTACTAACCTTGCCAACCTCTATAGCATTCTTGCAAAAGCAAAAACCTGCTATGACTAACTGAAAAGTCTTTGTGTAAATGCAAGAATGTTTTTCTTTTACGCATATGTCACATAACCTTTCATATTATTAGTCGCGTTATAATTTCGAAGCCAATATTAAACAAATATTTGTGCATTTCGCTTCATATGTAAATAACGTGCGCATATTTATTATATGGCGACCATCAGCCATTTCTTCAAATTTGATTTTCGTACCAAACGCTGTTCGTTTTGTCCAAAAACTTGACCGACATCAAATATATTTCTTTCACGTATTATGTGGAATTACCACATATATTATCAATAATTTGCCTTTTATGAGCTTTTTAACTCTCAAAGCAGCTAGTCTGCACAACTGAAAGACCCATGCAAATTGTCGCTGGCAAAAACTTTCATGTAAACTCGGAACAATAAGCATTGTTAAAGTTATGCGCGGTTCAGGTATTGCATCATATACTGCTAACGCACATAATGCACCATGTGTATGAGCAACACGAGTAATATAGTGACATATGATAACTATTTGATAACCGCAACTGGCTACGTAAGCACGAAACGAAGTGAGCACCTCGAGAAGAGCATTTTGTGATGAAGTGTTCAAGTTAATGTTTCAACACGCTTATTACCGAACATATGCATGTGATGAAATATGGTTGACCATGTTAAATAATAAGGCTTGTTATGTTAGTTCTTTATTTTATGTTGCTCAAACTGAAGCACGATAGCTGACTCGAGCGGCGGACGCCTAACACCATTTAATATTGGCGCACGACTTATTAACTCATGAATGCTGAAATAATAAAATGTGTTTGTCGATAACTGTATCACGCTACTGCCATGTTGAAGCAAATATCTTCAAAAGCAAACCGCAAATAATTCTGACCACCTGAACACAACTATGACTGGGCATATATGACACCAGAAGAACGTGAACTTACAAACTATAATATGTAAATGAATGAATAATCGGCAGACGACTGAATCATTTATTTAACAATTGTACTGTCTGTCTGACCTCCATCTATCTATACTAATTATAGTTCGGTATCGTTCTGTCTTTCTCACTAAGCATTTATAGAAGTACATATAAATACCTTTACTCAAACTGACAATATCAGCTTTTGTTGAAAATAATATATCTGTAGAAATTTGGCATGAATTATTGTCGATATGTTTAGATAGTTCTACTAACTGCCTATGAATCTTTTTCTTATGATGCTAAACGCTGTTCGACGCCTTGTTATGTCAAACAACGGGTAAAGGAACGAGGTGGTATACCTGTTACTTTTGATGTCTCAAATA